ATATATATAATAACCATCACTATTGTGCATCAACATTCTGTGATATTGCTTCTCTCTTAATCAAATATCCGAATTGGCCTTATTTCGAAGCAAATTATAATTAATCGAATTTCCATATGGATATGGCATAATTATTTAAATTTCTATTAAGAATTTGCTATTTTCCCATCTCTTTTTAAATAGTAACCAGCTTAAATTTATTTACTTCTCTAACCAATATATTGATTTCATGAGTTTCGATTCTTAACTTCTTATTTGAGACAAAAGAATAACAATATTAAGTAAATAAAGTAAATACTCTACTATAATTAAATAAATTTTAATTTGGTTAATTTTAAAATATAAAACATTTTATCATCAAAATATTCTTATTATCAATGTACGTAAATTGAACATGAAAAAATATTTATTGTTTTTCTTCAATATTTGATTCATAGTTTAAAACTCTTACCAAAGAACTATTATTATAAATTTAGTAAGACTCTTAGATTACTTTAGTTTCATTTTTTTTTATCTATCTATCTATTTTATTATTATTTTTTATTTTAATGCTCCCTTATTAAAATACTTTTACAGTCATTTGATACATTTTAAATCATATTTATTTTAGTGCAAAAAGAAAAGGTGTTAATGAAACATAATAAATAATAAGTACTCTTTTTTAAAAAAATAGGTCCCACAATTTTAGATAGACACATGGTCATCATAATTACAATTTCATATTACCCTCGAAAATGAGATTATTTACAACTTTGTCATTGGTCGTCCCTCACTTCACTCTTCTATATAGTAATAATAATAATAATAACTAGACATGAAATGCCTGTGCTAAGCACGGACCGAACAAATTTAACTTGCATAAGTTCATGTATTAGTTCATCATTTATTTTTATGCATGGTCAATATAGAGTATATGTCATTTTATAAGTTTAAATTAGTAGAACCATAAAAATATTAATACAATTATAAACATTATATAATAAGAAAAATGAACTTTTAATCTAATTTAATTTCAAAAGTTAGCTCACATGGTGAGAATTATTCAATACCACAAGGAAATCAACTTCGTCATCCGCAATTTACAATACTGAATTCGACACTTTCTATTCAAGTTGGTAATCCACTAATCTGCAAGTGTTGATGATTGTATCCTACATAAACTATTTGAGAGTAATCAAAACATAGAAATGTAAAAGTACTATTGGAAGCGATACATTGCCATAGTAATAATCAAGTAAATTTGAGGGGAAATTTATCATATTTGTATTTAACTTTTAGTACAGGCAGATAAAGTTATAGATATAATGCATGTTTCTTATAAAAAATAAAATGAAGATACCCTCAATGGGATAAAACCATAAAAATCATTTTGCCTTAGGTTCATTGGACTCACAACATGATTACACATGTTAATAAACTATACATGCTCCAAAAAAAAAGAGATTCATGTTTAGAACCAAGGTAGAAAATAAAAATAAAAATAAAAATGAAAAGCACATATGAAGTCTTTCATGTACCATTTTTGAGTTCTATTTTTCTCATGTTAGTCCAGATAATACTGGTCAGTATCCTTATTAATATATTATCATATTATTTTTATAAAAACAAAAGTAAAATAGCAGTATTATTTCAAGTTTTCAACTATTCTCAACTTTATCATTGATCTAGAATGGAATATTATAATAATTACAACTGTTGGCTTGTTGGGACCATAATAAAGATCTCGGAGGATAATGTTGACTTTCCCATAATAAGGATGCTAATCCATTAGAAATTGATAGTTATAGCAGAAGTAGGGGAAAATAGCCAACATTAACATATAACCTAAGTGTAAACAATCTCATATTTCATTAGGGCCAAAGCATTTACCTCCTTCTTTTTCCATAATTCACAATTAATAGTATTACAGTAGTAAAAAAAATACAAATTTGATGATGATGATATTTGCATTTTGAGCTTGTGAAAGTATTGAATAGCGAGGATCGAACATATCTTATTTATGAAGATGGTAAGAATTACGCAGAGAACGGTATTAAGAGCAACCATTTGTCAGAATAAGGTGAAATGCATTATGGTTTTCCTATGATGGATTAAGATACTCTTTGATCAACTCCTAGAGATGGAAATAAGTTGTTATGTCAACAAAAATCTAGTGATAGTTATGATGAACAAACATGTGAGGGAGAACCACCCCTTCAATTATGGAAAGAGCTCAGTCAGAATCTTTTAGGTATTGATCTATTTCACATTGTGTAATATATTCACAGTAGATATAACTACAAAGAAAAAAACTTTTAGCGGCAATAAACATGCACATTAACAAAGAGTGCTAAAGCCGTTACAAGCATTAGTTAATTGTCATTGGATCCTATGTCTCAATAGGCTTTAGAGACATTTACAAAGAATGTTAATTGCCTCTAAGAACATATTTAGCAACAATTAAGCTCTTTTCATTAATTAATTGCTACTAAAGATCATTTTTGGTGTAGTGTATTATCACAACATTAAAAAAAGCAAACTTGATGATGACACTATTTTGCATTTTGGGCTTGCAAAAAGGATTGAGTGGCTTTAACAAGAAAAACAAAGCATTTGGTATCAGTTTTCAAGTTGCAACTAAAGTAATTCAAATTGTTCCACTTGTAAGCACCATTGTTTTTGTAATAATGGTAAAATATGATATTGGTATTGTGTTCAGGGTACTAGTATAATCCACTACTTATTCTTTATATGTCCATGGTCAAGTTTTTAGGGAAAACTATAAATACTATCAGTGGTGTGAAGAAATTTTCAATTACAAATGCAATGAATTCTTCATAAATTATGTGGTCATCATTATAGTCCATGAACAACGTAATTACAGTGAGTTTATTTAAATTAAAATATTAATACCTCCAAAGAGAACTTAAAATTAAACAAAACAAAGAGAAGAGACAAATAAAATGGAGAATAGACAGAACTTTATCAATCAGCTAAAAGTGTTTATAGTGTTATATGATAAGAATATGTCCAGAAGGTAAGTTTAACTCATATTTACTTAGAATCAATAGACCATTCTTTTATTTATCAGACATGTTATGCACAAACAAAAACAAACCTCTACACTTGAAAGCAAATAGCAAATCATATTGTAGGCAATATTTGTGTGGGTTTCGATGACCACAACCTTAAGAGAGTGACTCTTAATGTCCTCCAAGTAAAGTGACAGAATAAAGTGCCACAAAAAAGATCAGAACAAAGGAACTTTGTTTGATGCAGCACAACCAGTGAGTTAAGCACAAAAACATATACACATGTTCTTTTGTACAAGGGAAAAACACATACACATGCATATACATGCTCTGTTATATGCACATAAATGATACAGTACACCCCTATTAGAATGGAATCATGGGAGTAACTGAACCCAATTAAAAGCTATATGAAAACCAACAAATAAATGTTTAATATTGGTCGATACCTAATTAATGTTCAACTAATAAGTATGCATTACTTTGGCACAGTTATTTGTTGTTCCTTCTTTGATTTTTCCTTCTCTCGCCTTTTTCATTCTCGATTAGGACCACATCTGCACTGGTGATTAAAATTATCCGTTTATTAATTGATTTGATGCTTTTTCTCTTCGTAAGCATGAAAATATAATTTTAAGAACTCAATGCCCATTAACATTGAAAAACACATATTAATCGAGTATAACTTGACCAAATCAAGAATGCAGCCGAAATAACAAAGTCCAAATAAACAAAAATCAATTAAGAATGAGCTGAAGATAGCAAAGAAATAATGAAACAACATTAGGCTTTATTAACTAACAGTAAAGATGATCGTAAGAAACATTAGAAAGAGAGATAAATTTGGGACATAAAAGGGGATAAAAACTCAAAGATGTAGATTTTACAGTATGTAAACCAAGAACATAAATGGTTTACTTGCTACGTGGGTAAATTATATTCTTTTTGCTCGAGAATCTTGGGTGACATTATGGCTTAACACACTATGTATTCCTTACTAAAGAAAAATATTTATTGTGAGTAAAATCAAACAACTTGCATGATGGAGTGAAATCCCACATTTTGAATAGGAAGTATTCAAGGAGACCCTTGATAAAATTAGTATTTATTCACTCCTAATCATTCACCATGTACATCAATAACATGCTTTAAATGAAACTTAAAACCACTTCTTTTTTTCGGCATTTGAAATAAGCATTGACCTCTTGAATTAATTTTTTTTTTGTAAAAAAACTTACCGTAGATCCAAAATAGAAAGAAATACTTGTAGTAGAGCCAATCAGCTTAGCAAGGCAACAAGTAATGGCCATAGCCATCTTGCCTCCAATTAAAACTCTTTGACAAGATTTCACCATAGGACTTGTGCTTAAAAAAGTACCAATTCCTCCAAATGCTAATAATGACAACTGGCAAGCTCATTGCAACCACATTCATCATTCACAGCCAATCTGACCTTATAATTTGCTATAAATGCAGCAGTAAAAACTGGCACAATGATACCCAATAAAAATGAAATAGCCAAGGCTACTACTGTCTGGAATTAATTTGGCAGTTGTTCCTCGTTATCTTTTTCATGTTCTTGGTTCTGTCCTCATGTTGCGTTGTCTATCTTCATTTGATCTTGATCTATGTTTAATTGAGAGTACATTGAGACAAACTCTAGGCAATCCTACAAGCATCGGCAAATCCAAAACACTCAGATGAGTTGACATCAATTAACAATGTCCAATTCACTTCATTCAGGATAATGTCACTTATAAAATATTAGTTTATATCAATCACGTAAAAAGTAATAGTTTATGCCTTGATTGGGTTAAGTAATTTAGCATCACTTACCTTTTTAGGTTTATGGTGCTTGTAATTGTAACTCAAGAGTTCTTGAAAATAAAGACAACAAATAAATTTATTAATACAACTCCTATGTAATTATACATAAAAGAGTGCAGTACTGTGCTGGAATAATAAGTTACAAAGCTAGGTGCAATAATCTCTTAAAGAACAAATTTTCATCAATATAATTTATTAGTTCTTAAACATATAATGCAACAATATTTTATCTCTTTAACACAAAGCACATGCGGTCACCTTTTGTTTCACCTTTATACATTTAAATGCTTTAAGAAAGTGTAGTTGCCCACGAATATGATTCCATCTACAAATTAATCAAGTATTTTTTTACACAACTATGGTAAAAATAATTTAATTTACTTTAAATCATTGAAATAAAAAAAAGAGAACATGAACCAAATAAGCTTCATAATAAAGAATATCTTCTGTGTTTACCCAAAGAGGAGCGACAAGATAATGTGCACCTTAGTACTGAGTCTCGTCACATATGAGGTCATTTAAGAAGCCTAAGGTGACACATGAATTTGTAGAGTAAGGAGTATATTTTCTCCATTAAGTGTCTTAACTGTAGCTTAACACAACATAAAGGAGGATATTGAAGAACCAATACTCGAAATAGAGAAGAATATAAAGTTAACAGTTTGAAAAAATGTATGGAAGTATATTTGATATTGAATATTCCTTCCTTTAAGTAGGCCAAAGCAAGATCAAATTTCATATCTATAATTTCATGTCATCAATAATACAACATTCTCTCTACCTCTAAGGCATAGCTAAGGTTTTGCATACATTCTACCCTCCACAAAGTGCAAACATCATTTTGTGGGACTACACTGAGTATGTTGTTGTTATCTACAACTTTCAAATAGTTAGAAGCTCATATTTTTCAAATGTATCCACTTTTTTTGACATTTACATTATAAATATCTTTATAATTCTAAGCTCTAAGCAACAATTTTGAACTTCTGTCAGTAACATATTGTTCTATCCTTTTAGTAACTTGAATATAACACTTACGAGAAAATAGGGAGATATATTGGGAGGAGGCTGACAATAAATAGTAGGACATATGCTTGTCACAACATCTTTGAGAGGATCCAATAATTACAATATCTGAAACAAACTTAATCTTTTTCGTCCAAATACATCCACAATTTTCCTAACCAGCATAACAAGTAGCATTAGTCAACTAATGCTCAAGAAGAAACTAAAACTCTTGAAATATTTATATGGAAGTTCAAGGAAATAGCAGAGAAATTGAAATCGATAGTGAGGAAATAATAATGAGGAAGAGAGAAACAAAATAGAGAACTAATAAAAAATGCAATAGAAACTAATCCGTCATTTGCTCTTAGAATAGTGGCTCGAACCCACTATGATGTTAGTCAAAATCCTCCTCAAGGGATTTCTTATTGGCCATGATGTTCTTTAGGAATGGTAATCCACACTTGGTTTTGAGCATCTAATTAAGAAGTTATAAGTACTTGTTAGTTCAAGAAGCGTTTCTTTCTTAAAGATGGGTGTTTTTATGAAGACTTGGTCAGCAATGTTTATAGAGTAGGATAATAAAAAAGTATAATTGTAGAGAGGACCGAAGGCCAGAGAATTGGAGGAGAGGACAAATAGACATGCATATAGAAATAAAACAATTGTCCTTCAAACCTTCACTACAATCATGAATCAAATGAGTTAGAGATCTACAATAGACATAGTATAACACTCAATGAACTTGCTAAATTAGTTCAAGAACCCAAGTATTAACACAAAATTAACACAGTATACCTCCATAAGTAAGTCCAAATGATGAAAATAGGAAAAACATGATAGGAGTTGGAAATGAAAAATGATTTTTTTGTGTGGCTGGAAAACAGAAAAGAAAAAACCAATTAGATTGGATATGAACAGATTCTGAACAAACATATTTTAAAATTTTAAAATAATTCTAAGAATTAAAGGAGTTCTCTGTTTTGTTTCGCCAACAAAAAAAATGAGAGAATAGCATACCCGATTACGGAAGATATTGTTTAGAAGACAATAGAACTGTAAAAATTGAACTTGAAGGTGCCAAGAAATCAGGTTTGGAATAAAAAAATAGAGAGACTTTGAGTTGTTCTTTATTTGTCGATGAAAGAAAGTGTAGAAATGGTTGATTGCTTCGAGAACTATGTCGAATATTTTTAATAGCGTGAAATGACCAATATGACCTTGGTCGTCCCATCTTCACACTTCTATATAGTAATAGTAATAATAAAATAATTTGATATATTTAACTCTAACCCTTTATTTGCTTGGTTATTAACTTACTTTAAATTCTCCAAAGATGAAGTACTTCTTTGTGAAAAACTTCTGATTTTTTTTATTGGTTTAAAATGGTTCCTTGGTTTATCGACTTATTTCATATAAATTATTACTTCAAAATGACTTAAATAAATTCTAAGTAATCTAGTTTTTTATTTAAAAAATTCTAACTACTTGTAATTCGAGTCAAATGTTTCTAAAAGGTCCTATTTCCAGGAAAAAAATGATTCTTTGTTTAACCATTTTGTTTATGGTTAAATCTTTTTTTTAATAATTATAAAAAATAGTCAAAAAGTATTTTAGTTAAGTCGTAGGATAACTGTGTGTTAGAGATTTCTTCAAATGCCTTAAAAACCTTCTTGAAGCGTAAATAAGAACTTCTTACCATTTCCCCTAAATTTTCTAAGACTTAATTTGTTAGTCTTTCTAAATTAAGTTTTTTTAATTTCTTCAAAAAATGAAGTGATGACTCTTTCTAAGTATATTTCTTAAATTGTTTTATACTTAGAACATTTCAAAAAGTAATTTATATAAAGATATATAAATTACGGCATAACAAAAATGGTGGCTCTGTTGAGGAATTAATTAAGTTGTAACCAAAAGATTTGACTAACTGTTGTTATTGAATTATTTATCTCTGATTATCATGTTTAAATTTTTTAACTGTCATTTTCACGACATATTCCTGTTGTATGCATAGTATATTAAAGGATGATTTTGCAAAATCGCAGTCGGAATTTTTCATACTCAACCCTATTTCTAAATGATTGACAATTTATTGGTTCGTCATGTGTCCAATGGTTGTCGTGAATTCCATGCTAAGTTGTCCACTTGGGTTCTCGGTCTTTGAAAAACCACTCTTAGTCAACTAGGGTAGAGCGAAACAAAAAATCCCTCAATTTAGCACATTGAACTAAGACAACCCAACATCCAAGGCGTGTTTGGCTCAATAGAAAGACCACCCTAAGTCCAAATTGGCCCACGACTCATACTTATGTGATTAAATTTTAAGGATGTATATGTTGTTTGAAAAATCATTATCCTCTAGGGTAAGAGGTAGATTATAGCTTACTCCAGTTGAAGAGATATCTTTGCAAGATACTGATCCATCCAAAGGCGTTGACACCCTTATATATCAAGAATCTCAAGAATGGAGGACCTTCCATGGAAGCTTAGTTAGGAATGTACCCCTGGGTGAGACTAATTATTCGTATCATTATCCCTATTATGTATCCTTATTTAATTTGTTTTTGAAATTTGTAATTTTTATTTTTTGGGGCGATGAAATGTTTCAAATGACGTTATACATCCTTCAATTCAATAGGCCCACCTTTAAGATAAAAATGTCACAAGTTTAGGACGTAATATAAATTTTTTCAGTGCTACTTTATATAATTGCTTCGTGTTGGGATATGTCATTTTGTCTAAAGCAGTATTAATCCAGTTATGTTTGTTAGAGCGCTCTAAGCATATATAAAATCCACAACAAAAAAGTCCGTCCAAATTATTCTTGAAGTGTTGTTCAAGTTTCTCAGAAATATATTTATCCTTTACTCCCAAAAAAACTCCTAAATTTTTATCCGTCATAGAAAGGTTGATTTTATAAAATGTCTGCAAAAGACGTCAACACACCAATCTCACCCATTGCTTTGGTTAGTGAAGAAGAAACTAAAGAGTCAATGTTCAAAAAATTTATCGAGACTAAAGAGAGGATAGTTGCAGCCAAAAGGAGACTTACAATACTCGACCAAACTTAATGGACGCTAAGAGAGAGAATAATTGAGGTTGACATGGAAACAATCTCAGTGAAAATAAATATTGCAAAAATCGATCAAGAGATAATAATATCACTAAAGCAACTGTAAGGATCCCTAAAATTGAACGGGCCATTAAGAAGCTAAATTTTTGGAATGCTTCTTCCATTAGGGGAAAAGGCAAAACAAAAAAAGGTTTAGATGGTGAGAGCATCAGATTGTCAGCCTACAAATGAAAAGGAAAGAAAAAAGTTTTGGGGGTAGATTTAGATTCATGTAACACATCTCTCATGTTCGGTATTTTGTTTATAAGTTTATTTTTAATCAAGAACTACGCAAGAGTTGAGCCCATAGGGGGGTACGTAGGAAGCTCTTTTCAAGCCTAATCTCTCTATCCATTTCGGGAAGGGTATGTTTGAAGTTATCTTATGTAATTTAAACTACGTCGGACCTGATTTCCTTGGTGGATAAGTAGGCAGCCTATTTAAGGATCGGTCCCTGTCTTTTCAATTTTAATTCTCCCTTATTAATGAAAGATCCTGAAGAGTTTCATCTACAAAGCATATGAGTGGAAGAAATTAACAGTGTCCTATGCAAGTTGACTTTCCCAATTCAGTCACAAAAAGATTTCTTTCCATTCAAATACTCCCTTTTACCCAAAATATTTCTTTGGATTAATCTACTTGAAGCAAAGTGATAATTGCGTGTTTAGCTTAATGTTAACTTATTTGCATATCTCGGTAAAAAAAAACTAACAGATATGTCTTTTGAGTTGTTCTTCTCTACAGGTAAAATCTAATAACTGGCCGACCATCCCTACTTTTCAAGATCTAAAGCAATCATACCATCCTTCCCTGGTCATTCTTTGGATAAAGACAAAAGCAAAATGACTAGTACTTCTAAAGAAACTAGAATATTGGATGTGAGCATCATAAATTCTGAACTCACTGATCAAAGAGAGTTGATCTATCAGTTAATGCAAAAAATTGCAGACATGCAGGAAGAGCTTCAACAAACCAAAGATCTAGCCAAACTGTCCATTGCATCGAATGAACCACCCCTCGAAACTAGAAGACTTCCTCCTTCTTTTCCATCAGTAAGTTCTCCGTTACCCAACTACTTCCCTACCCATACCACAACATGCATTACTTCCACCCCTAACCCTCCTACTATCGACTTAACTGTATCCAGCGCTCCTTACGCCAACACTTCTTACCAAAAGCCACCACTACTACCAAATCAGATTCAAGCACCTAACACCAATAACTCCCAAAACTTCACACCAACCTACCAAATCTCACCCCATGTCTCCAATAATCCAAGTGTTTTGCCTAGCCAGTCGACATACCCTTCCATAACATTCCAAACTCCACCAGCCTACACAATCCCTGAACCATGTCTAGCTTTCTTGTTCAACCAGAGTTGGATCACTATGAAGAAATGGAGGTTGAGAAAAGAAAAGTGTGAACAAGAAATGAATGTTATGAAATACGCCATCTCTGAGGCAGTAAAAAGTGTCCAATCTTCGAGGAAGATAACATGACTTGAGTATGGGAACCTTTGTATGCACCCTGACTTGGAAATATCCGAAGGTTACAAAATTCCAAAATTTGAAACCTTCAACGGTATTGGAAATCCCATGGCTCACCTACGAGCTTATTGCGATAAATTCATGGGTATTGGAAAAAATGACGCATTAAATATTTGGTTGTTTAATCGAAGCCTCAGTGGGAAGGCATTAGAATGATTCACATCTCAAGATTTCTGTCAGTGGTCTACATGGGGGGCTCTTGCTAAACATTTTTTTGGAAATATTCCAATTTAATGTCGAAGTTGTCCCTAACTGATATTATTTGAAAAAAATCAAGCATAAGACCATGGAAGACTATCGTGAATATGCATGTCGCTGGAGGAAAGAAGCTTCAAAGGTACAACATGTGATGACTGAAAATGAAATAACCTCTTCTTTTATTCGAGCCTAGGAGCTTGAGTATTATGAAAGGATGTTGCCCATAATGAGATAGAAGTTCTCGGAGTTGATCAGAATGGGAGAAGCCATTAAGGATGGTCTCAAGTCTTGAAAGGTTACAAGTATCACTGCTTTGCATATAGCCAAAAAATCCTCACCATCCATGGCTATATGATTTCCTAGGAAAAAGAAAGAGACGTGTCTATTGTATCTTTTAGCTCGAAGCCAAGGCCACAAAGGTATTTTGGGTTTAGTTTTTCCATTGGAAACTCCAACAGATTCCCCACATCAAATATTTACCCAACATCTCCATAAGCTCCAATCCCAATCTACTATGAACAACAAAATTACAAACCATCTCCACCCACCTACCAAAATCAACCAACAGTCTACCAAAATACACTACCAAATTACCAAGCCAATGCACCGGCCTACCAAAGTCCTGGACAAAACAACCCCATTGCCAACAATTCTACCCCGCCTTAACCATGAAAGAAAGCCTCCAGATTTTTCACTCTTTTGGCAAAAACACATACCCAACTCTATGAGCGTCTAAGAGCGGAAGGATTAATCCAACTAGTAGATGCAAAGACAATTAATCCTACAACAAAGTTCTTCCGAGTGGATCAACGATGTGCTAACCCTTCTAGAGGGGCAGGACATGCTACATAATGATATATCAATATGAAAACATAAGATTCAAGACTTGATCGATAATATAGTCATCACTCTCCAAGCCATGTCCCTAATGTGAACCTTAACCCATTGCCGAATCATGGGGGAGCAATCATCAACATGATTGAGAGAGACGAAGATTGGATCGCTAATGGGACTATCAATGAAACAAATTTCAACTTGCTCATATCAAAAGTGACCTCATTGACCATAAAGGCCAGTCCAGAGTTTGTTGTGATAACCGCACCATCAGGCATTTGCTTTGGCAAAGGAAAGAAGTAACAAGCATCCCAAAAAAAAGTTTGTTGTCCAGGAGGCTACAACTCAAGGGATGACACATTCTAGAAGATGCTATTTTCTAGAAGAGTTAGCTTAGGAAACACAAAAAAAGAACCAAAATAGGCCAATCACAGAGGGTGAGGCTGAAGAGTTTTGGCGAAGAATGTAGCATAAGAAGTATTAT